TTTATTTTTTAAAAACAAATCATTATGTATATAGATGTTTATTAAATGGTTTTATGATGCTAATATTAATGTGAATGTCTGGTATGTTAGTCTTGGTCATATAGGTCGACAAAGAATGGATAGATTAGCAAAAAAGGGATTACAAAGCCCAATATGATAAGTTTAATAAACCATTATGTATAAACTATCTAACAAGAAAATTGACAAGAAAATCATTTAATAAATAAAAAACTATATTTGAAGTTCCATAACAAATTAATACATTATGATATTTGTGTTCCACTATATGTAAAGACACTAGTGAAGGTTAATACTTTATCACATTTATTGATAATAACACATGTTTCGGTTTTATCTATTTAATTGTTCTCAAGTCTAAACTTGTAAAGTACTTTAGAAAGTTATTTAGTGAAAAATCAATTAGATAAAAGCATTAAAACATTGAGAACTGATCGTGGATGTGAGTACTTCTTTAATTAGTTTAGATAGATATGTGATGAAAGTGGTACTAGTAGGCAGTTAACCATTCCAATCACTCCACAATAAAATGGTGTTGTAGAAACAAGAAATAAAACTCTTTTGGAAATGGCTAGGTCAACATTGGTCTAACTGAATTTGTAAATCACTTTTTTAGTAAAGTATTGTTATCAACTATTTATATATTCAATTATGTATCCTTAAATTCAATTATAATCATTCCCCATGAATTGTAAATTGGTAAAAAAATCTAATCTCAGTAACTAGAAAATTTAAGGTTTTACTGCCTATTTTCTTGAGTTTGCTCATTAACATGACAAGTTAGGTCTACAATGCAAAAAATGTATATTTGTAAGATCCTTTAAACATTCTAAAAGGATATGTGTTTATAAATGAACAATTGAGTGAGACTGTAATTAAATTTTGAATCTCGGGATACCCTTTTTTTGAAAAATAAGTTTCCAAAGTAAGGGTGAGATGAGTCAGAAAATGTCTCTTTATAAGATTAAGGATGAAAATGATTTGGTGAGTTGTAAATCAATTAATGCATATTCCTAATCAATAACCAACGGGATTTCATATAAGTGGGAGCATGACTAAAGTTGATGAATTTATTGAAATTATTTCATAAGAATCATAAGTCAAGCAAAAGAAAAGTGGATGACAGAAATGAAAAAAGAAAGATGGAGTATAAAGATCAAACAATGTATGAGAATTAATTGATCTATACAAAAGATACAATTCTAGCCATTATGGTATGTTTAGATTTAGAGTTACATCGAATGGATGTGATAAGTACTTTTCTAAAAAGAGAATTAAAAGAGAAAATTTATATGAAATGACCTATAGGTTTTATTGACAGAGGTCATTAACACAAAAGTGTGTATATGATTAAGATCATTTTATAGTTTTAACGAATCTTCTAGGCAATGGTACATTAGTATTCATCAAGCAATCATTTTATATAATTGATGAAGATAATTGTATGTATGTCAAAAGAGTTATGATAGGCTTATGATCTTGTAATTCTATTTGGATGACATACTGTTGGCTAGAAATGATAAGTAGTATTTTACTATGGTGAAAATTAGTTGTTCTCAAATTTAAAATGAATGACATATGCGTAACAACTTACATACTTGGTTTAAGAATCAAGAAAGATCATTTCAAGAAATTGTTCACTTTTACAAAAGTAATATATTAAAAGAAAATTCATGAACTATCCAATATGCAAGATTGCAAGCCAATTGATATTCCTCTGACAAAAGGTGCCTAAGCTAAAGAATGTGTCTTGAGATTAACAAAAAAACAAATGGTAAGAGTTTCTTACTATAATGCTATTGAAAGTTTTATGTATACTTTAGTATGCACAAAGTCGAACATCTAGTATGCTGTGAATATGGTAAGCAGATATCAATCCAATCCAGGTCAATCTCGTTAAAAAGCCATGAAAAGGATATTATGGTATCATAAAGGCATTGTGGATTATTTGTTATGCTATCAAGAAAATGGTCTTCGTTTAATTGGCTATATAAAAGCCAATTAGTTAAGAGATTTAAATGAAAGAAAAATCTACCCCTAATTATATTTTCTTACTGAATATTAGGTTATATTTTGGATCGGTAAGAAAGAGACTTGAAGAGCACTATCCACAATAAAAGATGAATTTATAGAATTTTCAATGGCAATGCAATGGTTGTTTGGCTTATGAGATTTTTAAATCATTTGGGACTTGAGAATGATGAATCTAACTCAATGTTAGTGAATTGTGGTAGTTAAACAACAATTGCATTCACAAAAAAATCTCAAAGACCAAACACAAAGATACCAAGTATAATTTTATGAAAAACATGATTGCATAAAAAAAAAGTCAACAAGTTGTACATTTCTACGCATGAGACAATTATAGATCCATTAATTAAACTTAGGTCTAGAGATATGTTTCATAGCCACATGAAATCTTTTGGTTTACATAGATAAAGATGTACCAATTAAGATGTTCCATGTGAATAATTTATGATTTTTTTTCCATTTGAGTTAACTTATATTCAATGCGATTAATGCCATTAAAGTTTACTATTTTATTTTGTAAAACATGCATACATGTATATATATGTACATATACGATATTATTTGAAAGGTATGTTGGATAAATAATTGGCCTTCTCACACAAGTAATCGTCTCAATAGTTTGGTATTATGGAGATGAGATTAGTTTTAAGTTCTAAATCGAGAGCCTAAGCTTAAAATGGAATTATCTTAATGAAGGATCAAGATAAAAGGTCATTGGATATTGAGATTTGTGACCAAAAATGAATAATCTCATAGTTCACTTTCTTTGTCTTAATATGCCAAGTAGAAGTCCCATTGATTATAAGAAATCAAGTAGAGTGATAGACTCAAGGAATATATTAGGAGTATTTGAATTTGAACTATCACTTGTAGGGTATTGATATCTAATGATAAAAGCATAAGCTCTTTGGGAAGAGAAGAGTAATATTGTAGCATGTGTTTCATACCTTATGTTCATTGTTTGACCAACAAGGGTAATAGAAGAATAAATCTATGGTTTTTATTGTGTGAGACTTTTGAGATCAAAAGATCTCATATTTAGTACCATTAAGGACTTTTATTTTATTTTTTTTAAGTTTTAGTTCAATATTAGTTATCTTGGATTGTTGCCAATTATCATGGGTGATTTGATCTAATAGGACATATTGGATAATAACTGAATTGAAATAGAGAGATTCTAAAAGAAGAGAAGATAATTTTGTTGTCACTTTTGGTTGTATTCATAGGCCAATCAATTATGTTTGAGACGTTGAATATAATTGTGAATATATAAGTATAGTATATCATGCAATATGATAAAAAAAAAAAAAAGATCATAAGAATTTTGAAATGTAATTAAATGTATCAACGGTGCTACATACTTATTCTACTTATACCTAAAAATTACTATATATACCTAAAAGTTGTATAAGTGGCTAGATGTGTTTTTGAGTTGCTATATAGACCTAATAATTTTATAACAACTAAGTTTTCGAAGTATGATAATTGCATAATTTCTTTCTTTATATAACCCGTTGTAAAGAGTAGAGAAAACGTTTTTTGATCATGAGAGTTTGGTACTCTTTTTATGCGAGTGGGAGATATAAGAAAAAAATATATAGTCTGCCCATAATAAGTGGCCCGACGCCAACTTATTAAAGACTGCCTCAATTATACAATTTTGTAAAGTTTGGATTTGGTTAATAAATTGCCTTGGGCAATTAAATAATAGTTCAAAATGCAAACAATAATTGCTACCCCTTTGTCTCTAAAATGGAATGACATACGACTATTATGAAAGGCTGATTAAAAAAAAATTGAATCTCTCCTTCTTCCAAGTATATGGCATTCGGCCATATAGAAAAGGAATATGAAAAAGATGAAGTGTGGATTTTTTCTCTTTCAAGAATTCACATAGTATTTGGTCATGACGAGAAACAAGAGAAGAATGAATATGTTCATCGTATGAAAAAAATCTCATACATGTGCGACTATCTGATAAGTTACATTAAAAACAAAAAAGGGAAAAAAATTGGCATAAAAAAGAAAACTCTTTAAAAAATCCCTTGCATCGATATTTAAAGATTTACTCTTTAAATAGTGGATAATTTCTGTCTGTCGTTACCTTGTCCCAATAATAGCTTAGGAATCCAAGCCCTATCTGAATGGGGAGTAGTTCGGATGCCCAAATCTTTGCATTTTCTTTTAATACTTGGGTAATTGGTTAATATCATATGCCCACCCAAAGACAGGTGTCATTAGTTCCTAAGTTCCTCAATCTTTCTTTGCCTCTCAGTATCCACGGAGCACCCAGGCTCTACATCTTAATTCTAAGGACTGATCCAGCTCCCCAAGTCATGGGAAATTGTATCAAGTTCCACACCCACAACATAAATTCTTCGTACTAGCTAGAAAAGCAGGTGGTAAGACTGAATGGGTCAAAACTCATGCGTCTTCGTTCAGCATTGAAATTTTTGAGATGACATTTGCATCTAATTAAATTCAGTAATATCCACCTACGTCACTCAATAAATAAATTCTTCAGCAAGTGGCAGATGTTGAAATTATGCCTATTTGTTGGCTGCTGCTAATATCATGTTGCTGGTTGTCTCTCTCATACGCTGTGTTGTGTTTTTCATTAATTGTTGTTAGATGACTGCTAGTTTAATTAATCTTTTATTTGTTGTTGATTAGGTGGTTGTTAGTTTAATTAATTGATCTTTGTGATGCCTTAAATTCTGAAGTATTCCAGCTGTTTGCAATTTTAAGCAAAAGAGAACTTTTGTCTGCATTTTTCTCACTTTTCTCATTCTCTGTTCTTTGCTTTTGTTCTATCTTTGAGCTCAACTGTTTTGCTTTCTTATTTCCTAGTACATTGTGATTATTTTCTAAGGTTTTGGGCGTGTAGTCTAGTGATTCTAGCTTGTGAGAGATTTCATTTCTCCAACTGCAGCTTCATCTGCCATATTGGTTTCTGAATTAACCATGAATCCTGTGAAATGGTTCGTGAAAGCACTGCTTCTTTCCTGCTTTTTTCACTTGTCCCTTTCTTTCGATACCATAACATCACAGCACTCTATCAAAGATGGTGATGTTGTCGTTTCTAGCGGAAACACTTTCGCCCTAGGGTTCTTCAGCCCTGGCAATACCAAATATCGCTATGTTGGGATTTGGTATTACCAAATTCCGAAGAAAACAGTTGTGTGGGTCGCCAACAGAGAACATCCTATCAATGACACCTCCGGAACGCTCTCCATTAGCAGCCAAGGAAACCTCGTCCTCTACCAGAAAAACCAAACTATTCTTGTCTGGTCTACTAATCCCTCTGTTACGCACTCAAAGAATTCTGTAGCTCGACTCTTGGATTCAGGAAACCTACTTTTAGTCCACAATGGTACTACCTTTTGGCAAAGTTTTGATTATCCTTCAAATACTGTACTTCCCTTTATGAAAATTGGATTGAATCTTAGTACTGGTTTAAATCGATTTGTGACGCCTTGGAAGTCCCCAGATAACCCTGGAATCGGAAACTATACCTACAAGATAGATCCCAGTGGGTTCCCTCAGTTGTGTTTCTACAAGGGTTCAGTTAAATTCTGGCGAGGTGGGTCATGGACGGGACGAAGATGGGTTGGAGTACCCGAAATGACACGTAGTCACATCTTCAATTTTAGTTTTGTATATAATAATGAAGAAATTTTTCTCATGTTCGGGATAAACAATGCCTCTATAATCTCAATATTGGTCGCAAATGAGACGGGATTGCTGACAAGGTTTACATGGAACCCTGAAGACCAACGCTGGGTTTTAGTTTGGTCCGCCCCAAAGGAGGAATGTGATTATTATGGGCACTGCGGTCCAAATAGTAACTGTGACCAAACTCATGAAGATAAGCTTGAGTGTTCCTGTTTACCCGGATTCGAACCCAAGTCACCCCAAACTTGGTTCCTAAGAGATTGGTCAGCCGGGTGTGCACGGAAGCGTAATGCGTCTATCTGTCAACATGGAGAAGGGTTCGTGAAGGTGGCACGCGTAAAGGTGCCTGATACTGCTGTGGCTAATGCAGACATGAGTTTGGGGCTGAAACAGTGCAAAGATAAGTGCTTGAGGAATTGCTCTTGCACGGCTTATGCGAGTGCATTTTCTGAGCTTAACGGAGAGACTGGATGCTTGACCTGGCACGGGGATCTGGTGGATATCAAGACTTATAGAGATGCAGGACAAGACATTTACATACGGGTGGATGCTGTTGACTTAGGTATCGTTTCTGTCCAATTGCATTTCTTTCTTCACAACAAAATAATTTATTTTCAACTCATTTCTCTATCAGACCCTGATTTTCTCTTCTAAAAAGTTTCTCAGAGTCAAAAGTGCTTGGTTAATAATTTCAAAGCCATGAAAACAAGGTTTAGAATTGACTAGGTAATCAAATTATAATTTAGGCTGGTTTTTAGTATTAGAAATCCCTATCAACATTGTACAAATTATGGGTCATTATGGCAACATTTCATTTTCAAGAATTTTCCAATTGGACTTCTATCTGCTCGCTCAATTTATTATTTTGGCTGTTTGAAATTTTATGTTTATGACCCCTTGGCTTCTTTGTTAGAATTGAGCTCTTTCTTGGATTAATGAATTCTCATTCTCCTCTTTATCATCACTTTGAAGGTTTAAGTAACAAAAAGAACTAATCACACCTTTTAAAATTCCAGAATGTGACTGTCCCATTACATTAAACTTTCTTGCCTGTAATTCTATTCTAAATGTTGATAATTGTCCTGGAAATAGAAGAATTACTTGATGTGATAAATGGTTTTTGATATTTGAAATATTAATTTGCATGTATAACTCCATCTCTTAGCTAGCTACAAGAAGAATGGTACAATTAGCAAGAAGCAGTTGGTGACAATTTTAGTAGTTTCTGTTGCTGTGATGCTTTCTATGGTCGCCTTTGCTTTTATTTTGGTGAGGCGCATAAGAAGAGGTATCGAATTTTTATCTGGAATTTGTTTTATGATGCATTTTCCATTTGGATTTCTCACAGATGCTTTTCAAGTCCTAAATGTTTCAGTCATGTAGCTCTATATTAAGGCTCCATTCTGCACGTAGAAAACTTTTGAAATAATAAGAATTGAAGAGAAACCAAAATTGATTAAAAATGGAATATAAAAAATCATTTAATTGCTAAGAATACTATCTATCATGGCAAGCATAGATTGAATTTATGTTTTATGTTTTCATTTTTCTCCTTTCAAATTTCCTTCAATTTTTCCCCAACTGTAACAAACGGTGGAATTTATAGACTAATTTTTTCTCTAATTTTTTTCTGACGTCTTAATCTTGGCAAAAGATTATTGCACAACTATGTCGTTTAGAATACATTTGAAAACTTCACAAACCAAGCATTGATTTTTTTTTTTATTTGATACCAGGAAGAAAAAGACGACCTCCACTTAGCTTCACAGCAAGTCCAACACACTTGGAGGACCCTTTAAACGGAAAAAATGCGGAGTTGCCATTATTTAATTTGGGAACCATTGCTGCAGCCACAAATAATTTTTCCTCTGACAACAAACTTGGACAAGGTGGCTTTGGCCCTGTTTATAAAGTAATCATTCTTGCATTTACACCTTCCAATGATTTAATCTATCGCATTTTGTAACTTTTAGTTTTAAGGAAACAGCAGATGAACTGTGACAAGTTGCTTGAAAGGAAACAATCGTGATTATCGTTGGAATTATGTTTAATTCCAGGGTATACTAAGTGGAAAGGAAACAGCGGTTAAAAGGCTATCAAAGTCCTCGGGGCAAGGAATAGAAGAGTTTAAGAATGAAGTTACACTGATTGCTAAACTCCAACACAGGAACCTTGTAAGGATTTTGGGTTGTTGCATAGAAAAGGAAGAGAAGATGCTGATCTATGAATACTTGCCAAATAAGAGCTTGGATTCTTTTATTTTTGGTATGAATGCTCCTTTTCTCATGTATTTTCTTTTTCTAATCAAGTCATGTAGGCTCTAATGAAATATACAACTTTGAATCTAGATGAACGAAAGAGATCACTCTTAGATTGGGGAACCCGATTTAAAATTTTTTGTGGAATTGCTCGAGGAATTGTATACCTTCATCAAGACTCAAGGTTGAGAATCATCCATAGAGATCTAAAAGCCAGTAATATTCTACTAGATGCTGAAATGAACCCAAAGATTTCAGATTTTGGTATGGCTAGAATATTTGGAGGAGATCAAGTGGAAGCAAAAACAAAGCGTGTTGTTGGAACATAGTAAGTGCATAAACTGTTAGCATTTTCTCTGGGTATGGAATTGGTTGCATTGATTGTTACTAGATTGCCAAAAAAGAACCTACAACCGTGAGCGAAATTGTCAAGTTCTAAACGAATTTTAATAGTTCATTTTTCTATATGCTATTGCAGTGGCTATATGTCACCAGAATATGCAATGCAAGGACACTTTTCTGTCAAATCTGATGTGTATAGCTTTGGAGTACTGCTATTAGAAATTATTACAGGGAGAAGAAATATTGGATATTACCCTGACAGTCCTACCTCAAATTTTATTGGACATGTAAGTAATTTAATTGTGTATGCAATTTCTATGAAAACTTTACATCCTGTTTTAATTATTCAAGTTGTTCTAGGTTTGGGAAGTATGGAGAAACGGTAAAGCCATGGAAATAATTGATTCATTATTAGGAGGGACTTATCCTGTAGCTGAAGTTTTGAGATGCATTCAGATTGGGTTGCTGTGTGTGCAAGACAGTGCAACAGATAGACCAAAAATGTCTGTTGTTGTTGCCATGTTAGGCAACGATGCTTCTCTTCCTTCCCCTAAACAACCAGCATTTATCATCAAGAAAACCAACAAAAACGATGAGACAGGTAGTAGTGAAGGCACTGGCTCTGTCAATGAGGTGACTCTTACCATGCCTCAAGCTCGATAGAAGCTCAGGATCTTTAGAAGTTACAGAAATTGGAAAGGTTCCAATATGTAATAGGACTTTGAATAATCTATTCAGTCAAGGGGGCAAGTGTATGACTCGTATACTTCCAAGTAAATTGATATCGTCTACATAAATCTTGGTTAATATCTGGACTCTTGACATGTTTGTTGTTAGAGTTTGATTAGCTGTTATAGGGTAATAGGTGCAACCACTCTCGCAGCTAGTGGCATTTGCCCATTTAATCGGCAACAAAGCCTGGGTCCAAGATGACCCCATGAGTCTTTCTCACGTCTATGTTTGAAAACTTCCTTTTGAAAAAAAAAAAAAAGAAAAAAAAAAACTCTTTAGGAAATAAATTAAAGATGACCCCATGAGTCTTTCTCACGTCTCTGTTTGAAAACATCCTTTTGAAAAAAAAAAGAAAAAGAAAAGAAAAAACTCTTTTGGAAATTAATTAAATTATACTTTCAAAATTTACCTTAGAAATTAAGTTTTTTTTTAAGTAATAATTCTCCTTTACACTACAATAAATATGATATTTAACAACAAAACAATAATAAATATTATCAAATATGTACTCATTTTTTTCTTTCTTTTAGAAAAAAAAAAAAAACTTAACTAGATAATAAACAAAAATTAAAAGGGAGAATGTAAAATTCATTATCATAAAGAAACCTTAATCATCGCTTTACCTTTTGAATTTTATAGAGGATAAATATGTAATGATTTTCTTTCTCTTATTTTAATTTTACAGAGGACAAAACTTAGAGCAATTTTGCAAGCATGTGGACATGAGTTTTCTTGAATATAAAAATAGTACTTATCTACTGGTGTCAATTTACCGTGAAGTGGGGGAATTACTTATTTGAGAGTCCTAACATAAAACGCGTTTTCTTTTTAAATATGATGAGAATTTTTCAATCGGATTCGTAAATGAACTTTTAATTATTACTCAACAATTTCATGAATTTGAAAGTAACTTGTTGAAGAAAGTCGTTGCTAATGCTTGTCACTTCTTATTCTAGTTGAAATATAAGCTTTCGAGAAGAACAAGTCTCCTACGTAAGAGAAGGATAATGTTTAATGTAATTGTACTGCAGCAACAATTCTTTCCTCTTATTAACAAGAGAAAGACAATATCTTCAAATCTTGGTCTTACTAAGCATTACTTTAAATTTCTCATATCTTCTAACTCGAAAGAGCAAACTTGTTTGAAAAATTCAAAAGTAAAAGATATTAGCTTCTTAGAGATAAGCTGGAAAGCTTAAAAAAAATTGTTGCGAGTAATTGAAATAATAAAAATATGGTAAAATTTTAATAAAGATTTAAAGTTTAAGCCTTATCACTTTTCTATGGTATTGTACCCAAAAAAATGTAGAAACCATTTTACATCAATTGAAAAAAATTCCAAACTTGAAATTTAAGTGTAATTGTCAATTAGCATTAAAGAATGTCTGATCTAGTCCTCAAATAAAGTAACGGAATTTGGCAATCGTAATTGGGATAAATTTCCTCAGAGCTGATGAATAAATGTCTTCCACCGTAGCGAGATAAATGCTCATGACAAGCAAAAAAGTTGACATCAAAATTTTGGACAAAACTTATATAAAATTTTTTAAATAAAATTTATAAATTTTTTATAAATTATTGAACAAAAATTTTAATAAAAAATTCAAATTAATAGATAAATGAAGTTTAATATAAAAATTAATAATATGTAAAAAATTATTTATAATTTAAATTTTATCGATATTTATTTAACGATAAAAATTTTATTAATATTTTATTTAAAATGTTTATAAAAAATATATATTAAATTTTATTAAATTTTTTTTTAATTTTATCATTTACTTTATGTAATAAAATTTTTTAATATATCGATTTTATTTTTTAATTTTAATTTTAATTTAATTATTTTTAATAAAAAACTTCGCTAATTTTACCTAAAGATAATTACAAAACTTTATGGTGGTCCACATTTTCCTAGACAATTAAGGATTTCTATTTTAGGTGCTTAGGTCAGATTTCCCACGCCTAAAGGCATGTATTAGGATGACCCAAAGCCAATACGTCTGGTGCAAATCAAGAGAGAAATTATGATTCTTTGGGTGGCACTAATTCCTCCAACAAGATTGGATTTTGCGAAGGAGCTAGCTATTTCACGACTTGTCTGATCACATAACTGGCATGACTAGCAAACAGACAAGCAAATTCCAACGATAAAATTTATCTTTCCATCTCTTCGTATCTGGAAAGTAAAAGGAAAAAGTGTCTTTGTCACAGCAATTTCTGGGATTGACTGCGATTTAATAGCCCTAGCCAGTAAAGTATTAAGGGGGATCCACTTATTAATGAGATCCCAACTGCATCAACAAATTAATATATTTTTCTTCCGATCACCTTAATCATACTGAACCAGTCATGAATCCTGTTAAATGGCTGGTCAGGATACTTCTTCTTTTCTTTCTTTCTCACCTCTCTACTGCTGCTGACACCATAACAATAGATCACTTCCTCAAAGATAATGGTGATGTCATAGTCTCTAGTGGCAAGATTTTCGCACTCGGATTTTTCACCCCTGGCAGTTCCAGGAATCGATATGTTGGCATCTGGTATTATCAGGTTCCTGAGAAGACAGTTGTTTGGGTGGCCAACAGAGAAAATCCCATTAATGATACCTCTGGGATCCTTTCGATCGACAGTCGAGGAAATCTTGCCCTGTTCCAGAGAAACCAAACACTTCCAGTCTGGTCTACAAACATCTCTATCAACGGCACTAGGAATTGTATTGCTCAACTTTTAGATTCAGGAAATCTTGTTCTGCTTCAGAATGAAACCAAAAGAACAGTACTGTGGCAGAGTTTTGATTATCCCACAAATACTATGCTTCCATTTATGAAACTTGGGTTGAGTTTTAAAACTGGTCTAAACCGAGTCCTGACGTCGTGGAAGTCTCCGGATGATCCGGGAATAGGAAACTGTTCCTACAGGATCAACCCAAGTGGGTTTCCTCAATTGTATTTGTACAAGGGTTCGGCTCCTTGTTGGCGAACCGGGACATGGACCGGGCAAAGATGGAGTGGTGTACCTGAAATGACAAGCAACTACATATTTAATGTTTCTTTTGTCAACACTGATGATGAAGTATCGATAATGTATGCAGTGAAAAATGCCTCTTTCATCACAAGAATGATAACGAATGAAACAGGAATTCAACAAAGATTTACATGGAACAATCAAGCGCATCATTGGACTGGGTTTTGGTCAGCCCCAAGGGAGCAGTGTGATTTTTACGGGCATTGTGGGCCAAATGGTTACTGTAACCCTGATCGCTCAGATGATTTCGAGTGCACATGTTTCCCAGGATTCGAACCCAAGTCACCCCAAGGATGGTATATGAGAGATGCGGTAGGAGGATGCGTGAGGAAGCGTGATGTTTCCATGTGTGGAAATGGAGAAGGGTTCGTGAAGGTGGGACGTGTGAAGGTTCCCGAAACTTCGGCGGCACATGTAGACCTGAGTTTGACATTGAAACACTGCGAAGAAAATTGCTTGAGAAATTGTTCTTGCGTGGCTTATGCTAGTGCATACCCTGAGATTGAGGGAGGGGTTGGCTGCTTGACATGGCACGGGGATTTGGTGGATGCAAGGACATATGCAGATGCAGGACAAGATCTATACATCCGGGTGGACGCTGATGAGTTAGGTATGCTTCCTACATTTAATTGCCCTTTTGCAACCAACAACTACTTCAAACTAATATCTATATGCAAGTTGCAGCTAATTAACTTCCTTTTCTGGCCTTTATTCTTTTTTTTTTTCCCTCTCAAACGTTTTTCCCAAATCAGGGAAAAAAATCTTTTATGCAACAGAGCCTTGTATATGTTCATGTAGCTATAAATGTTCTAAAAGCCATGAAAAAGAAAGATGGAATTGGCTCGGTCTTTCATTAGGCATAGACCGTCAGCATGGTTCCAATCCGAATAATTCTGCTGAACTTGTCTAAGATGGTAATATTAAAAACATTTAACTTCTGAATAATGTAAACGTTCTGGTCAATAAACAGATATTCTACTGTTGATGAAATTTTCCAGGAATTTGCCTTTGGAAAATGGTTTTAGCTAGTTTCTTCTTCCTTAAATTGTTTTACTTCAGTCTGGAATTATAGAATATCATTTCTGCCAGTTAATGTAAATTTATCAGTGGATGAATTAGTTTGATGATTAATTGGTTTTTTCCATTTGCAATATAAATGCACGTCATATCTTTCTCTTGTTAGCTCTCCATACAGAGAAAGGTCTACTTCAAAAGAAAGGAGTGCTTGCGGTTCTCATAGTTTCAGCCTTTTTAGTGTTTCTCATTGTTGTCGCCATTTTACTTTGGTTGGTGAGAAGGCAAAGAAGAGGTACCACATTTTCCACTGTTTTTATATGTTAAACCTTATGCACATTTTAATAATGCCACTTAAAATTCTTCAGCCAAATTGTCATGTAGAGATTAGCAATTGGCTTAATCATGATATTGCGTTTGACAGCAGCAAAAAAAAGAAAAGGCAAAAATGCATTTAGCTTTACTGCAAGGTCATCATTGTTTGAAGACTCTTTTGGTGGAAAGGGGATTGATGAGAGCAAAAGAAATGGAGATTTAGTATTCTTTGATCTGAACACCATAGCTGCAGCTACTAATAATTTCTCTTCTGATAACAAACTTGGAGAAGGTGGTTTCGGCTCGGTTTACAAGGTAATTTGTCTTAACAACTATTTATCTCAAGTACATGACATATTCCCATCTATATGTATGTCCAGGTGCAATGAAATTCCTACCAGTCCATTTAGTCCAATCTTAAAAAGAATTTTGTGTTTGCAGGGTTTGCTCTTCAATGGAAAAGAAATAGCAGTGAAAAGACTATCGAAGTACTCAGGGCAAGGAGTAGAAGAGTTTAAGAATGAAATTGCGCTAATCGCAAAACTTCAGCACAGGAATCTTGTAAGGATCCTGGGTTGTTGCATTGAGGGTGAAGAGAAGATGTTAATCTATGAATATTTACCAAATAAAAGCTTGGATTCTATTATTTTTGGTATGTCTTCTTTCTCATATGCTATTAGAAACATCACTGTTGAATGTCAAGTAATTTCTCTCTTACGCCAAATTCTACAATTTTAAGCTATGCATGATGCATTTTTAAAAATTGACTTTGAATCCAGCTGAATCAAAAAGATCATTGTTGGACTGGAAAAAGCGTTTTGAGATTATTTGTGGGGTGGCTCGAGGAATCTTGTATCTGCATCAAGATTCGAGGTTAAGAATAATTCATAGAGATTTGAAGGCGAGCAATATCTTACTAGATGCTGCAATGAATCCAAAAATTTCAGATTTTGGTATGGCCAGAATATTTGGAGGAGACCAAATTGAAGGAAATACGAATCGTGTGGTTGGAACATAGTAAGTATTGCAAATGCTAATTTTGAAACAATTTCTGCTACGGGTTTCAAACAAGTTCTAACAATTTCCTTTTTGTTGTATGATTCTAGTGGTTACATGTCGCCAGAGTATGCAATGGATGGACACTTTTCAATCAAGTCTGATGTATATAGCTTTGGAGTCCTGCTGTTAGAGATTATCACTGGCAGAAAGAACAGCGGTTATTATCCTGATAGTCCCTCTTCAAATCTGGTTGGGCATGTAAGTAGGAAAATTTTCAGTACAACTTTTCAGAAATCAAATTAAACTTTCCATTTAATCAATGATATAAAGTTGTTTTAGGTTTGGAACTTATGGAAAGATAACAAAGCCATGGAAGTAGTTGATTCAGCATTAGGTGATTCATATCCTGCTGATGAAATCTTGAAATGCATTCATATTGGGCTATTGTGCGTGCAAGAACATGCAACAGATCGACCGATGATGTCTGCAGTAGTGTTTATGTTGGGAAACGAAACTGTTCTTCCGTCCCCGAACCAACCTGCATTTATAGTGAAGAAAGCAGGCAAAGGCGACGAGATATGGAGTAGTGAAGGAACTACTTCTGTAAACGATGTGACGGTCACTATGGTTCAAGCTCGCTAGATGCATATATATAAGACGTAAAGTAGGAGGACTTCATGGTCTGAACTTTAGCTTTCTCTATTTTTTTTAATCTTTAAACTCGATTAAAAGTTGATGTATTGGAAACCAGAGGTATTTAAGTATTTATCTCGTAACAAAATTATCCTATAAAAATAGTTTTAGGAAATTGTCTTGTGCAAACCAATTTCTCTTTTCTTAGAGGATTGGAATTCAAAACAATGTATACTCCGTTTAAGATTAGAAAATTGGTGAATCATTTTCTTGAGTAAATTGTCCCAGTACATTCTATCTTTATACAACATTTTATTTTCATTTACGATTTTTAGAACTCGTTTTTTATCCAAGGCCTTAAAAAATCTTATAAATTTATCCATTTTATCAATCGTCATTAAAATTTAATAAAATTTATCTCCTTAAATCCACATGTCATGTGCATGTTCACGTGATAAAAAATATTACTCCAATTTTTTGAGCTAAAATTAATGTTATATGAACTTTTATGTGATATTGACTAAACATATTCCGTTAGATTTTTAACAATGGTTCACATAATAGATGAATTTAAAATATTATGAGTAAAAAAATTGAGTTTTAAAGATTATGCATAAAATAAAAATATCACCAAAAAATAAATGTACAATGCATTTTGCTCTATTTTCTTAGGAGAAATAGAAACTTAGACGAAAACCAATGTTAGACAAAAAAAAGAAAAAGCCTTCCATTTCTCACATAGTTAAAGATAGAGATTAGATATTATTGATATAATTTTTAATTAACTGAAAGTTCAAATTAATCAAGTATATGAAAAAAAGAGAAATAAAGAAAAGCAAAAGGTTATAAGAGAGTACAAAAAATGTAGACTAGGAAAAGGTACATGTTAATGTAATTCTCTCTCTCCTTTTTTTTTTTTTTTTGCCTACTGAATACTGATACCACTAGTTGAACAATCGAGTATAAATTCTGGTAAACTCTGATGATCTAACATAACATTACCGGCGCCGTGCCATTAAAATATAACACACTAGGACTCTTTTCTTAAGGATGGAACAAAATAAGCCGAGTGTGGTCATTATAAGCTCTCATGAAACATTTTGAAACTTTCTTAGGACTCCTTTCCATTCCATAAATATTGCTCAGATACTTATGAAGGGTGCTGACAAGCTAGTAAACATCTTCCAGACCTCGGTTCTAAAAACTTGTTTCTTGGACTTTTGGGTGTACACTCTAAAACCTTAGGGTCACTTCTACCTTCGCACACTATCGTACACCTCAGGCTCGACCTCCTTCACTCTGCTGCTCAATTCCCCTTAGATATATGCACCCTTTTGTCTTCGTCTAGTCTCCGATTTAATCACATAAGTGAAAGTAAAATCAAATAATAAATTAAATACACAAGAGATAACAATTTAACATTATTCGATCCAATTAACTTACATCTATAGATGAAAAACAAGATCCATTAGTTATAAAAAATTACAAACATACATTAAATCATTAACTTCACTCAACAATCAATACTAATAAGACACTCTCAATCTTCTCTAATCCTATAGAATATTTTCAACCAAAATAAACACAAACTCAAACCCTTGTGCACCCTTTCAATATAACCAAATACATACCCATATACTTCCATATATTATATCTACGTGAACCCTCTCAATTTCTTCTAATCCACTCATAAACAAATATATACACTCATAAGAAGTAAAATCCCAATACTCCTATGCGGTGTCTAGCTCACAAAATCCTACAACTCTTTTACATCTTTTTTTTATACCTAATCCTGTAGAGACTTCACATATTTATAACCATACAAACTTGTCAATTAAGAATCTATTTTCTCTTAAAATTCTTCTCCTGTAAGTCAAACTTACCTATTAAAAATCATCTTTCTTTTAGAATTCTTCTTTTGTAAGTCTTCTTGTTCATCAAGTAATATCTAATAAATCTTAAACAAATCTCTTATAGGATTTGAGTCAATAATCCTAAGAATCTCCATCTTAACTCAAATTTCATCAATCATCTGTCTTCATACTAAACATGCTTGGCTCCACCTGCAATGAAAGTCTCACAATCATCTTTTCTTGTGTGTCTTCACGCTTCATACAAACTGATCTTCAATCCTCAAAACTCGAACTCGAACTCTTCTCATATCTTGAACCATCGGTTCTTCCCACATCTCGAACATTTAGCTTTTATACCACTTGTTGGGGATCACCACAGCTCTGATACTATTTGTTGGCCTAAAAGCCTCCAATCCAATCATATCAGCGGAAGCAAAATCAAATAATAAATCAAACACATAAGATACAACAATTTAACGTAATTCAATCTAATTAACTTATATCCACAGATGAGAAACAAGATCCACTAGTTCTAGAGAATTACAAACATACATCAAATCATCAACCTTACTCAACAATCAATACTCATAAGACATTTTCAATCTCCTCTAGTCCTATGGAGTATTCTCAACCCAAACAAACACAAACTCAAATCCTTGTGCACCATTTCAACATAACCAAACACATACCCATATGCTTTCATACATCATACCTATGTGGACCCTCTCAGTCTTTTCTAGTCCACTCACAAACAAACATACACCCATAAGAAGTAGAACCCCAATACTCTTATGGAATGTCTATCCCACAAAATCTTACAACTCTCTTACATTTTTTTTTCATACTTAATCCTGTAAAGACTTCACCTATTTATAATCATACAAACTTGTTCATTAAGAATTTCTTTCCTTTTAAAATTTTTCTCCTGTAAGTCAAATTTATTTATTAAAAATCTCTTTTCCCTTAAAATTCTTTTTTTTTAAGTCAAATTTATCTATTAAAAATATATATTTTTTAAAATTCTTCTTTTATAAGTTTTTTTATCCATCAAATAAGATCTAACAAATTTCAAATAAATTTCTTATGACATTTGAGTCAATATTTTCAACATGACCAAGGGTAAAGGCCGTGACTAAGTGCGTTTGCGTGTGCTCGGCTTTTCAATTTTGTTATGACCAAATTTGCGCAAGTTCTTGACGACTTGAAAAAAAATGACTTACTAGTTTTCGGCATCAACCAAGTATATGTGTACTACCTGTATAAACGGCCCAACGGCCACAAGGCAATCCTTGCGGTTCACGTTCCTTGCTTATTTATTTTTTTCCCTTTGCTCTCTATAAAATATGTGACAACGAAGCAAAGGTGAAGGCTCCACATTTTTTTTTCGTAATAAGTTTAAAAATTCAAACACGTAAGGCCATTCTTTTTGACAATTTCCTCCAACAAAGTAAGCTGGAGGAGCGATGCAGATTGTTGACTCTGTTTCATCCATCCATCTTCTTCTTCAGTCTTTCTCCTTATTTTTTTAAAAAATATAATTAAAGCTTATATTGGATACATTATATACGATTCAATTAGTGAATTATACAATAATACTTAAAAAAATTAATTTTTCAGTTAAACCAACACATGCCTGTGTCATCTCGTTCTTGTTTTCCCCAATAATAGCTTATCATGCTATTAATGTCAGTAGAGTTATTTCGACCAACAACGGACGCTTGTGGAGCCGTTGCATTTACCTTTTTTGAGTTTTTTTGCCTTTTTAATGCAAATTAATTTCTTGTCTTCTGTCCGTTTAACCCTTTAAAAGCCGAAGCAACGGTTTTATAATAGGAATGAGCAAATGAGTTTCCGAATTTGCCCCTATACGGCTTTTATGCTGGAAATATGGCCTTTTTTTTTTCTTGTCATTAATGAAAATGTTAGAGAATGATGACTTTCCCGAAAGGGCACTGTATTGCCGTACGGTAAAAAACTTTTCTTAAATTTATGAAAAATTTATGTTTAATTTACTTATAATAAAAAAATTTATATACTTTCAATAAATTAAATGATATTATTATATTTATAAATAAATATTAATTTTTAAAATAGTTATATGAAATATTAATATATTTTTAAATTTTTATATTTTTTATTTATCTAAATAATATCATGTCATTCGTTAATAATTTAAAAAACTTATATATTAATAATCCGTAAAATATAAATCCATTTATAAATTCTTTGCAAACAGAAATCCACTCCTTATGATAAAAGGTACACTCATTATCTATTACGAAAGCTATTAAATCAAACTAATTATCTATTACAAAAACTTAAATCAGGACATTCGTTAATTTACCAGTATGCATCCCATGCTTTGCTAAATGGTGAAAATCTTCGTTCCCTTGTTTTTTTTTTTTTTTTTTTTATATGATTAAAGCTACAATTCATCCATTAAGTGTCCAATTGCTGAGAATTGATTTTCATTGCGCTTGAGTTCTTGGATAATTTCAACTACATCCCCCTCAATTACGATCTTATTGAATCACATCTCTTTTAGCGTAGTCAATTGCTATGCAATATTATATTTGGTGGCTGGAACTGATCTCCTTTAGGCAGTGGCCTGGGTGCAGGCTTTGTAGCTACCATTGTTAGCTAAGTCATTTTTGGCGGATTTATTCTCTTTTTTTTTTTTTTTTTTCTAAAAATCCTAATAGGATAATTGATATAATAGTTTAAGTGACAGATATATAATTTCATTCATTAATTTTTCAGATGAAATTTGTTTTTGTTGTACCATAATAGTTATACATTGGAAATCTTAAAATTCAAATTGAATGCTTCAAACAATTGAGAATTCTTCAAAAAAAAATCTGAGAATGTATGTGAAATTTATGAAATACAACAAGAAAGATCTACTTCCTTTAACGAAGAAAAAAATTTCATAATTGCTTCTTATTAGAAATGGAAATTAGTTGTTCAACATGATCTTTGTTTGAAATGAAATTAAATAATTCAGCTAAAAAAAACTTGAAAATGGACATATTAAACAATATCTATGAAGAAATTTTCAAAAATGGAAATTAAAAAAAATCATATGTCCTTAAAAGCCTTTCCAATCTCAAAGTCTCATGTCCGAAAATTCAATGGAATGGGAAGGGCATTGTGGTCATTTCATAGTCATAAGCTACCTTCACAAGCCAAGTGCTCCTCTCTCAAGCTTGAAATGGGAAAATGAAATCCTCCCTCTCTCCACAGCTTCCGTAAACCTCATAAACCCTCATTCCAAAGCTCTTTTGAGAGTGAGAGAGAGAGAATCAGGAAAAAAACGAAAAGCTGAGTCTTTTATCCGAGTTGGAAACGAGATGGCCACTCGGCTGCCGGACGATTTCAAGTGCCCCATATCTCTTGAGATAATGTCCGACCCAGTTATCCTCTCATCGGGTCACACCTTTGACCGAGCTTCAATCCAACGGTGGCTAGACTCAGGTCACCGGACTTGTCCAATTACCAAACTTCCGTTACCTGAACACCCCTGTCTTATCCCCAACCACGCCCTTCGTTCCTTAATTTCCAATTATACCCGTATTACCCCTTCAAAATCGCAACCCTGCCCTCAACCCCAAACCCTCATCTCTGCTCTGACGTCCCCATCATACCCTCTAGGAACCAAGCTCGACTCCCTCACCCATCTCGCCCGACTCACCAAGCATGACTCAACACTCCGCCGTAAATTAACGGAGTCGGGAGCAGTCCCTGCCGTTCTCAAGTGTGTCGACTCGGACGATCCGAGTTTACAAGAAAGGGCACTCTCTTTACTCCTCAATCTCAGCCTCGACGATGATAACAAAGTGGGTTTAGTCGCAGAAGGTGCAATTAACCGGGTCGTCAAAGTCTTGCGTGCCGGGTCACCCGATTGCAGAGCCATAGCAGCAACGATCATAACCAGCTTAGCCGTCGTTGAAGTCAATAAAGCGACAATCGGGGCATACCCGGATGCGATTCAGGCATTAGTTCGGCTTCTAATTGCAGGAAAAGCAAGGGAAAAGAAAGAGGCAGCAACGGCTCTTTATGCAATTTGTTCATTTGCTGATAATAGAAGAAGAGCTATAGATTGCGGGGCGGTGCCGATACTAATTGGGTTATTGGCTTCAGGGCTGGAAAGGTCTATTGAAGTGTTGGGATTATTGGTGAAATGTAAAGAAGGCAGGGAAGAGATGATGAAAGTTAATGAGTGTGTTAAAGTTTTGGTTCATGTTTTAAGGAATGGGAGTTTAAGAGGAGTTCAATATGGGTTATTTACCTTGAATTGTTTGTGTAATTATAGTGAAAGTTTTTGTATTGAAGCAAGGAACGAAGGGGTTTTGGAGATTTGTATGGGGTTAGTGGAGGAAGAGAATGAGAAGATAAGGCGGTATACTTCGAGTTTGGTTCAGACTCTGAGAGGAAATCATGCTATTGGGTGAATGAATTTTTCGGTGTTGGAAATGGAGGTCAGCTGTTTTTTTCTTTTATAATGGGATGTTTAGAAGGTGGAGATAGTTTTCTTGTACAAGAGGAAAATTGATTAGATTTTTGTATCTTTGTACATTTGAATAAAAGGGAACATGATGGAAGGGAGGGTTTGTTGTTCTCCCTGGCTTTTAGATGTAGTGAAAAACAAAAAGTTTCGAAATTTTGTTACTTGAATCATAATTTGGTATTGATTTAGAAATTCTCCTTGTGATTAAAGCATGCCTACTACGTCTTTGATCACCTGTCAGTTAGGAAACTTTTTTCTTTTATGGACTTTGTTGTCTTTGAATTTTGTAAGGGCCAAGTGTTAAAAGAAATAGGAAATAGAAGGAGCTGTTCTTATTTAAATCTCCCTCAGTTAGGTATGAGAAGATTGAATAATGAGATTTATTTCTTGTTATGATTGTGATTGTTTTTTGATTCAACAATTTGCGGTAGAAATTTTGCCTGATTTAGTTGTTTTGTGTTTATTAGGAATTTGATGCAGTGAAATACAGTTTTTTGCCTCTTTTCTTTCTTTTTTTAACTTTTAAAATGGTAATATTGCCTCTGGTTCTGTCAATGAGACTTAAAATTTTTGGATCATAAGCTACATAGAAATTTCAACAAAGTTACCTTACGTTCTGATTTTGTATATTGCAACCATTTGAATTTGAAATAAACTTGAATGAGATGTAATCGATATCTTTTTACTTATTATATTCATTTGCTAATGCTGTGATCGCTTATATGACTACAATTTATACGTTATCAATGTTGACAAATAACTACGCAGCCATAACTGGTCCATTATTGCTTGTGCTCTGTGAATTCAACATTGGGACTGGTAATTTGTCTCAAATGATAACTTTGACCGGATTATGAAGATTATAATGTAGCCAAAATTGTACTCCTTGATACTTTTCTTGTCGGTATAAGAAGAAAGGCAGATCTTATCTTGGTTTAGAGTAAAAATAGAATGGGTTTGCTATGCCCATAAAAGTTATTGTAGGAAGCAACTAAGAATGCTGCGTAAACAAACAACTGTTGTCTGTGCAAACCTTGTAATTTTAGATTGCCATATCATATAGGTGTAGGTTAGTTTCTCTGCCTTGCTATATGACATGCAGTAGCAGATGGCAAGTTGATTTGCTGGAGCAGCTCGGTATCTAGTTGAAGAGTATATGGTCACTTTACCATGTACACACATTCTCTAACGCTATGTTTGAATCAATATTAATAAAAGAAAGGAAAGGAAAGGAAAAAAAAAAAAAGAAAAAAAACTATTTTTTAAAGGAAAGAAAATGATACATATAACTTTTGTTTGGATAATTAAAATTAATAAAAGAAAGTAATAAAAAAGAATTTTAACAATCATTGTTTAGATAAAGAGTGAAAAATAAAGGAAATGATTCATTATAATAATTTTTTTTAATTATAATCCTTCATTACTTGTGATTTTAGAGTCTTTTTAGATCATAATACATTTGTTATCTTGTCTGACCTCACAATTACTGCTATATCAATAGTTTTTAATCAAATGAAACGGAAAAATGTGTTATAGATATGCATTGATGAATTTTGAGATAATTTGACATCTCATAAATCCAAAAAATATATCAATTTATATTCAATTATTCATCAAAATCAAATCACCAAAAAATTATAAAAAATTTTTATATTGAAAGATATATATGAAACTTACTTAAAAAAAGATATAATTTTAAAAAAATTACAGGATGATTGTGATCTGCTTAGATTTTTTTGATTAAATTTTTAGTATTAATAAAAAAATAGACATAACAATCTTTTTATAAAAAAATTTTTTTTAAACTTTTTTCCCTAATTTTTTCTTCAAATTGAATTATTTAAAAAATTAGATTTGCAAGAGAAATTGAAGATAATTTGGTTTTCACTTTTTTTCTTTTAAATTAAATATTTATCTAAACAAGAAAAATGAGGTTTTATTTCTTTTATTTTACTTTATTTTTCTTTCATTCTTTTCTCTTCAATCCAAACACATTGTAAGTTGGTCAGGCACGTGAAGGTCGAAAACTTATGGAAAAGGTATTAATGGCTTTCTAGAGATTTTCTTAACGGCTTTATATAATTGAAATTTTATATGTTGATGTAGGTTGAGTGCTATTTAAATTGTAATAAATTGATATGCTATAGGCTAAAGCTTCACGACGATTTGCTGCTTACGAATGGAAACTTTTCAGTTGCGGTTCTCAAAAAACATCCAAGGGTTGAGAAACTATGAAAGGTGCTTGTGAAACCTCGACTTGAGCAAACCTTATTCCTCTTTTCCTATTGTGATCCTCAATGTTTCTCGTTATCAGCTTTTCACTTCAATTTTGTTTTTAACCTTTTTAGTTTCGACATGGCTTTCATTTGCATAGTGAAAGTGGTTTTCTTTGGAATGATTTGCTTATATTGAAATTGCAATGTTTAACGAATTTTATTTTACCTTTGTTACCCGGTAAGTTAATCCATGCACATCTTACGATTGATTCTTGTAGTCCGGCAGTGCATCATGTGCAAGGTCATAGCTATTTATTGGGGCTTAATTGCACATACAAGTTATGTGATAGACTTATAAAATTTCATATCCATACGTCATGGATGTTTAAATACATTTTTTGGCTGGTAGCATTGTATAAAATTAGTTATTTGATAACGGTGGTTGTCCACTTAATCCCAAATGCTATGTTTGGTCAGGCCTTGTGTAGATGGTACTGGGTAGTTTTTTTTTTTTTTTTTAATTTTTTTTTATTGTTTTGATTCTTCCTGGTTGAGTAAGGAATGCATTGCAGCTCATAAAATTAAATAAATATTAATATTGAAAGGCTGTTTTGGTTGTCAAATTTGACTTGATTTCATTGTGCGAAGGGCCCAGGGCAGCTAAATGAGATGATACAGTGTAAGGGGTGTTTGGGCACAAATTTTTAGATTTAAAAAAAAATAATTTCATAAAAAAAATTTATTTAAAGAAAATATGTGATTTTTAAGGTTAATTGATTTTAGAAAATGTGAAATTTTTGTATTTAATTAGAGGAATGTAAGATTATTTAATGAAATTTTTTATTATATTATCTTTAATTACATATAATAATACTAAGTAAAAGTATTTTAGATTTTATTACACATGAAATATGTAATAATAAATTTTATATGTTATAATAAATTTTTCATAATATATTTTTAACAAAGTACATGTTTTTAATCTTAAAAACATCCTTTTTAATTAAAATTTGAGAATTTTGTAAAATAATTTTTTTTTATATTTTCAACAAAAATCAAGTTTTTATCTTAAAAATGTTCTCTACATTGAATTTCAAAAAATAAATTTTTTATATTTACAACCAAAATTACTTTTTAATAACATATAAAATTATTACGTTTTTAAAGTAAATGACATTGTTTATATAATATATGATATGAAAATATAATCAAGTGAATATAAATTAAATAAAAAATTTACTTTTTTTAGAATCTAAAAAAGTTTTAAGGAGAAAAGAGCTTTTATTTGTTGTTTCCTTCTTTTTGACATTATTGAAAGTGTAAAATTCATGACATGAAAAAAGTTTCTAAATCAAATTAAAGAATCATATAAGAAAAAGTTAGATTTTCAAAGAAAAAATAATTTTGAGAAAGTAATCTCAATCAAACGCATCTGTTACATTTGTAAAGTGAAAAAATAATGGAGAATATGTTTGTGAAGTTACGTCGAAGCATACGTGTTGAAGAAATTGGTAAAAAGAAGGCATCAAATCGAAGTGAAATTGTTTGCTGAAAGAAGCAAAGCTTATGCTTTTACTTTCTGCATCCATATTTTATATTTATTGAATAATGAAAAAAAAAGAAAGAAAGAAAGAAAGTGTATTTGGCTGTCCGACAATAAGTACTTTTTTCCCTTTCTTTTATTCTTTAATCTGGCTGTCCTATTTTTTTGTTTGTTTGATGGCGACTTAGCGTGTAAGTAAACAAACCAAATCATGCAAGAAAGAGAAGTACAAATGAGAGCGAAAAAAATTTCGAGGAGCTTCCAATGAGATGGGAGATCCATCTACTCATTGCTGCCTCCTCAGAAAACGAGGCCGCAAATCGTGGATGCTTTTTTCCCGTCTCACAACTTAAATTGCAAACATGCTAGCCTCTTTCATCTTGGATATGTGGCTCAAGGGGTGGATCTTGTTCTTAAGACAGCAAACAAAGGCCATTCCGTTAGTCTTTTGGGTCTAATGTGTCTCAGACGAGAAGCCAGGTGTCTTGGACAACCGGGCCGTCGATTATAATATAGCCTTTGGGCTTGGAAGAAATTGCATTTTAGGTGTAACGTTGGCTGTCAAGTGTCAGCCATACCTCACTGACTTTAAGCCGAAAACAAGCTTATGATTATTTCACCCATTGCCTGGAAAGTAGAACGATGTTCCAAGTATCTCTTTTACATAAGGGTTAATGGATGTGCTTCGTTACGAGTGAGATGAAATGATACGGTGGTTTGTCTCTTAAAATTAATTTTTTCATATTTAATAAATATTTAATATTTAATATTTATAATTTTATATTTATATTTAACCTCTTCACCTATTATCAATTTATAATAAATTAAATATTTAACCTGATATCAGAGCCAATATTTTTTTTTATTATCATTTTTAAATCTGTTACATAATAAATTTTTTTCATCTTCATTTATACGTGATAGGAGAAAAAAATATTTAGTTCGTAAAATATTAGATTTTGAAAAAAAAAATGATTTTTGAAAAAGTACGATATTCAAAATTTTTTTCATTTTTAAGGTATTTTGTATTTAGACTCTATCATTTAATTAAGGAGAATCCACGTATATTAATTCTTATATAATTATCATAATTTTTTTTATATATATGATAGTAATTTTTTTATTTTTTATTAATAATAAATACCTAAATGATAAATAATATCTTTAGCAACAAAAGCAGACAAATACTTTATTTGATTGATGTTTTTATTGATAAAATATCATAAATTGAGGCATTTGATTTTTTTTTTAGTAACAAAAATTGATAAGAAAATTTATTAGAAAAAATATCAATTAATATGTTTGTCACTTTTTTATATCATAAAAAAAATTTAAAATGTTCTTTTAATTTATTTATATAAAGCATTTCTGTACAAAAAAATACCTTAAATAGTTTTTTATTTTTTTATATTATAGATCATTTAATAATTATCATTTAATTTATAAAAAAATTATTTAAGATATTTTTATATATAAAATGTCTTAAATAATCTTTTAATAAAAAAATAAAAAGATCATTTAAGACATTTTCTATAAAATATACTTTAAATGATCATTTTGTAAAAAAAAAAATTATCATTTAAGGCGTTACTCCATAGAAAATGCTTTAAATAAACCTAACCCCTAAAAATAAAAAGATTATTTAAGATATTTTCTATAAAAATACTTTAAATAATTTTTTTATAAAAAAATAAAAAATAATTTAAGAGGTTTGTATATAGAATTACCTTAAATGATTATCAATTATGACATTTTTTAAACTCAAACACCTTAAATAATTCATGTTATCACTTAATTGAGGCCAATGATTATTTAAGATAATTTTTCATGCAAAATTCTTTATTTGCAATATAACATTTTTTTTTATACAAAAAGCTACAATTAAGTTTCAGATATATTTTTTAAAAGGATAACAACTATTTTATTATTTTTTATTCTGGTCAAATTTAAAAATAAGATAATTTTTTTTTTTAAATCTTAAAATATTTAAAAAATTATGAGTTTTTATTCAAAAACTTTAGGTATTGTTAAAAATATAATATTTTTTTTTGGTAACCGAATTACTTTAAACTATACATAAGAATCAAATATCAACTATTAAAATTACGAAAAAAAAATTGTGAAATCTTTCGAATCAAACGTACTTTAAAGAATAAAGTATATGTAAAATATTTAATTTAGTGGTGAGCCCACAGAAGGCAAAGAAGGCTTCCATTAACATCTCAAAAAGCCTGTACCGTATCAAGCACTAAAAAAAAGGTTAATTTATAGCCATGATTGTGGAGTAGAGAAGGTTGAGATAAGGTCCTGGGTCTTGGGTGTGAAAAAAGAAGAAAAAAAAATCTAAAACAGATCTGAATAGACGTTTGGTCTCCCTCACCATACTTACAAGCAAATGCTCTCTGTTGGGATATGATGAAATTCGGTGGCCAAATTAGGAGGGCCATCCTCTAGAACCACTCGTGGATCAAAGCAAAAAGCCATTTCTTTCTCCTACTCAATTTATTTTGCTGGGTCCTCTTAACTTGTAACCCAGAGAAAGTCCGCATCCCCACCATTTGAGTACTATATAGTTGTCACGGAGTTAATAACTTGAACCAAAAAAATCAATATTCATTGTAAATGTGTCATTGTATAAGAGTTTAAACTTTAATTAACTATTATATTTTATTGTTTGATTACAATTTTTTTCGAAAGAATATCTCTTCAAAAATGGGTTTCCATTAAGATTCTTTGTCATATACACTTCCCATGTGAAGGGATTGATGCTGGTGCTTTTTTTTTTCCGAACGTCATCTCCCCAATAAAATGCAGCTTTATCATACGGGGCTTATGGGGAGGACAAGCTGGGAGTTTTTGTAAAATTGAAAACGGTGATCTCATCATCTCATTCTCAGCCAACATCAAAAGAAGTGCAAAACAAGAGAAAATGCAATCATAAAGCTCACTCAATAGAAGAAAGAGTGCATGCAAAGGAGAGCAATAATATTGTAGAAGATGGAAGATGAGACATAACAAATAATAATTATCACAAATATGGGATTGTAATAATGGCTGTTAGGAGTATATTTATTTATTTATAATACAAATTCGTAAATTGGATGAAGTTTGAAGGCGTGAGGGAGTTGGTATTAAGAAGATATAAGCACGCTTTGAGACAAAAGGTCAATGATGCCTTTTTTAGATCCCTCCAGAGAAAGACAAAGAGACGAGGAAATTTCAAAATAAAAACACGACACCATGTGAAAACCTCCTATTAACAATTTTAATTCTTTAATTCTTTAATTAATCGAAGATAGTTGCATTAATCAATTTAATTTTAAAAAAAATGTGCCATGATTCTGTCATACTGGCACTTAGTTTGACTTGGCAATTCTTTTTTTTTTTTCTTCTTATAAATGGGAAAACAAGAAAGTTAACTACATAAATGTGGCAATGACTTGTTAAGAGCTTCCTATTCTACATTGCTTAAGGGGTGGCTATGACTTTGTTAAAAACCTCCATTCTTCACTGCATAGATAGAACTTACAAGATTATTGTTCTTTACATAAATGCTGAAAGTGTGCCGAAATTTGCTCTGATTAGGAAACAAAAACAGATTATGTTTAGATGAAGAATTTGAAGAAAAGATTTGATGACAAGTTGGCAATTTATACAGAAGACGAAAAATGAGAAAGTAATGACATTTTTTTTTCTTTCCAAACAATATTATATATGATTCACTTATCAAAAAGTCATTACATTGTGATTTTTTTTAATGAAATTCCTTTTTCCTATAAGATTTACTTGCCAAAGTTGAAACAAATAATTTGATTTGAAAGGGATAAGCATTAAAAATTATCATTAATTACATAGGATAGCTATGATTCTAGTCAATGATTGCTAGTAACAAAACATCTGTCCGCCCTTGGAGTTCAACTGAAAACTGTTACAAATCTTTTTTTTTTTTTGTGAAATTAAAAGTCAAGATTAGTCATTATCGCAATTTCCCATTCAGAATTGAAGTTTGAACACACAGCTGGTACACTCTTCTATTTTTATTTTAGAGATTTCAAGCCAAAATTGCAAGCAAATAACTATGGTTTCTTGTACCAAATAACCATCCATCCCACAAATCTCCACCATTCTGCATCTGTAAAAATATAAAGTCAATGATCTTGACCCTGTAACCAATAGAAAACAGATCAGAATCAGATGCATCAACTCCAATATATACTTCTGTCCAGATGCAATGGATCTTTCGTGTATACATATTGTTCTTAAAAATAACAGAAGTTGACATAAAATACTCTACCAGGGAGTAAATCTTGTGCGTAAAAATTGTGGGCTTTCCCCTTCTGATGATCTAGGTGATTGGGAAAAGAGTTACAAGGTTGGTACCGCCAATCTGATGGTGAAAGAGTTGGTGTGCCCTCTAATAATGGAGCCGACCATTTGTCTGTTTTTACTAGACAAATAGTTCATGCTCTCTCTGTCTTTTTTTTCCCCCCTCACCCCCAAAACAAAAAGAGCCATACAGAATTATGATTAAAATTCACAATTCAATTTGTCACTTTTGGCAAAGGTTTCTTTAAGCCAAAACCCAAAGTTTCTTTTGGAAGCTTAAAGTCGAAGAAAGTATCTGATTAAACCGAAATTATCAAAAAGAATTTGAAATTCTAATATTCTTTCTTTCAATGTAAAAACCATTTATGTAATTTGAAAGCTGAAAAATCATATATGTATTTGAAAGCTGAAATGTCTTTTATATATAATAATTAAGAAGTCTATTTTAGCAGAAGTAGGAGAAATAAACTTTTTTGTTGGAAGAATAAAACTTTTATAATAATGTTAATGTCGCATGGTATTTTTTAAGATAGGAAATTAAAAACGTATATGTGACATATCTCATTACCTATGCTTAGGATAATTAAAAATTAATGTGGGAATAAGTCAAACCTGAACGATCTTTAATTAATACTAATCGTTTGGCTGATCTCAGGAAGATTCTAGTTCAACTTAATTAAAATTATAATACATAAATATATAAAAAAAAAAGGAAAAAAGTATAAGGTATGATAACTAGTGTGTAATAGAAGATTATAACACAATTCTAATTTTTCTTAAAAAAAAAAAAATACAACTTTAAGATAAAGAGAAAAACTCATAGATATTGTTATTTAAAATTTAAATTTGTAGGATTTTATCCCTTAAAAACGACGATATAAAATAATTGAAATTAGTTTTTGTTTAGCAAAAATCTATTTATATTTATATATATTAAAAACTCATAAATGAACAAAATATGAGGGTCATGACAAAATTAAAATTCAAAATTTTTTTATACTTAAAAAAAAAGAAAAGTTTTAATAAATAGTTGACCCCCAGAAAAATAGCCCCGTAAACTACGACTAATCAAAGTTTTTGGACAAAAGAAAATCCCAAAATCTCTTCTTAAAAAGTAACTATAAAAAACTGTTCCCTTGCTCTGTTTTCTCATCCTCTATGCTTAAAACAGAACATTTTCATTAACCAAAAAGGAAAAAAAAAGCTTCCTATTTGCCTTCAAAAGCACAAGACACAGCTTACCAAGAAAGAAAATGGTCACCAAAGTCTACATTGTGTAAGCATTCTAATCTTGTTTTTTTGGGGTTGCTCTGTTTTGTAGCCAGAGTTGAATCTTTTGCTCTGTTTCTGGCCCTTGCTCTATCTTTTCTTGTATCTTTTTCTTGCGCATTTAGCCATTAAGTTATGAAGTTTTATGTTTTCTTATGAATCAGATAATTTGTGTTCTGTAGTTTGGTTTTATTGATTAATTCGGTAAAAAATTTTTGCATTCACGATTTAGTTTATACTTTCTTTTGTTTTTCCTTTCATCTTGCCTTTCTTTTCCAAGTTAAATGGAGTTTGAAGTTTCAACTACGTTCTGTTTTGTTTAATTGGTAGGAGATCGACTCTCTCACTTACAAACTATGAAATTTATTGGTTTCCAAAGATTTGATCCTGTTTACAGTTATTCTTGAATCCACATTTGCATCTTTAAAGAAAAAAATTTTATATTCAATTTCAAGATACTCCTCACCCTCCCGTTTCAATCTCTGTTTTCTTACAAGAATTTCTGTGATCATCTTTGAAATGATGACAAGGAAGACTGAGATGCTTTCTTCACTTCTTAGTTTCTATAACTTATGATCCAGGGTATATGAGAAGCAGGCGTAGAGGAAACCGAAAGAAAATACAGTAGAAAAGGACTAATTCGCTGTTCTATGTTAATAGGATTTTGGTTAATTATTTAAAAGTGTGAAATGTTCATTTACTTAATCCAAAAATAAAAGAAAAAGGAAAAGGCTTCTTTTGAACAATTTGGTGTACATGTTATGGAAACTCTATGAGACTAAAATTTATGTTTTCTTTTTTCAATGTTTTTAATCTATGTTGATGTGTATAATACATAATTTTACTTAATATAAATAACTTGGTTCTATCATCAAAGTAAAGAGAATGAAAATTTAATGGCGATTATGCTGTTAGTTAGCAACAAACCAAAATAAAGTGATTGTGAAACATGAACTACCATTGAAATTATATAATTAGGGAAAACTCGATGGCTCTTTTCTTTTGAAGCATGTGGTCCCATCATCCATTATTATTGTAGTCCAGTTCTTTGTGCATATAATTTACAAAGTCAAAGTGGCCTTCGTTCTCATGGCTTCCATTGCTTACTGACAAACTCATAAATAGTTCTTCAAGGTCACCTTTTTTTCATCTAGAAAGAAATTGTTTATACATGTAGATGATATGGATGTGGCAGACCTGTTTTTTTATGCGTTCCATTATAGATAACAAAACACCCGCAATTTGTCTTCCCTTGTTTACAGGATAGTCCCATGCAGTTTCATTGATGCATTTGTGCTGTGTAATTTTTTCTGTTGTAATTGGTTTTGGTCGATAATTTTCCTCGTTATAAAACTGTTGAATTGTCAAACAAAAAAATTTTACCCCTTGCATTGTAACTTAAAAACTACTTGGGTCTTTGCTGCAGTTACTATTCCATGTACGGACACGTTGAGAAGCTGGCACAGGAGATTAAGAAAGGGGCTGCATCCGTTGAAGGAGTAGAAGTCAAACTCTGGCAGGTTTGATTATCTTCACAATTTTATTTTCTTAAACCAAGTTTAGATTGCTATGCAACGAAAGTTTGGAAGAGAGACATCGTTTGAGTACATGCCTACATGGTATATAGAGCATACGGTCAACTATTTAAGGGATGTGTTGTTCCTTCTTGGATTTGTTGTCTCTTTTCCTTTCTTTCAATTGCTCTGTATACGTTCCTGCTTAAATTACTGGTACCTTAACAGGTACCTGAAACACTACCAGAGGAAGTTCTTGGAAAGATGGGTGCACCACCAAAGACTGGTGCCCCTATCATTACACCAGATGAGCTTGCTGAGGCTGATGGTGTTCTTTTTGGCTTTCCCACTAGATTTGGGATGATGGCTGCACAGTTTAAAGCCTTCATGGATGCAACTGGTGGTCTATGGAAAACTCAAGCACTTGCAGGCAAACCTGCTGGAATTTTCTACAGCACTGGGTCCCAAGGAGGTGGACAAGAGACTACCCCGTGAGTATTTGCACCATAACTATGGAAGTATCGAGCACTATAGCACTCCAAATAATATTTTTATTAATATTTTCACTATTTCTTGTTGGAAAATTTTGCAGCTTAACTGCAATCACTCAACTCGTTCACCATGGAATGATATTTGTGCCCATTGGGTATACTTTTGGTGCTGGTATGTTTGAGTTGGAGAAAGTGAAGGGTGGAAGCCCTTATGGTGCTGGAACTTTTGCTGGGGATGGCTCGAGACAGCCATCTGAGTTAGAGCTAGAGCAGGCTTTCCACCAGGGGAAGTATTTCGCTGGCATTGCAAAGAAGCTCAAGGGAACAGCTTGATTTTTCCCTTACCAAACTAGTACTATTCAGCTTTATAAACATGTCTTATTTTCTTTCCATTTTACTTGTTTCAGATATTTCGTCTCCATAGAATAATATATGCTCGGTTGCAGTGGCTTTATTTGTCACAAACTACTGTATTTCTTCAAGACACTAGCTTCGTATCAATGATGAAAGTTTCATTTGTGAAACTTTTTCTCATTCACCATACTGATAATGGCACTATTCCTATCCTAAAGCAATAATATAATATGGAGCAATCAATTTGAATTTGTTTTGTACTTGAACCTTTAGAATCAAAATGCATGCTTTTGTGGTGCAAGTAACCTTAAAAGATTCAAAATTCACTTGGATTCAATGTTATCAGTGATACTACATAGGCCCATTGCAAGCTCATAAAAACTTTTAAACGACAGGGAGTTCCAGGTTTGTCACCTACAAAACATGGACCATAGCTTTATCCTAATTGTCACCAAACGATTCCCTCTTTCCTCTCACAAACTCGTACAAGTATTTGGTCCTTTTTAAAGATAATGATATCACAGCCGAGTACCTGGTGCAGCCTTCCAATGTTTAACTAGTGAAAAGGTTGCCCAAACAGTTACTTGTAAACTATGGGTGAAAACGAGTTTATTTTTTAATTGGTCGGATTTAAAAAAAACATCGGAGTTGATGATTCATTAATTGTGGAATCAGATTCATGCATGGACAATCGTGTTTGAATATTTTATACCTTTACTTTGAGAGAATCATTTGTTTAATTAGGATTTTTGTACATTTTAAAATAATTAGCTTTTGGGCACGTGCTTGCATGTGACAAAATCAAGATATAATATAATAATAAATTTAATTTTAATATTTTTCTATAATAATAAAATTAAATTAATTATTTTGATGCTAAATAAAATTTAAAATTCAAATATATATATATATAAAAAAAAAAACTCAAAAAGAAGTTCCATAAAAAAATAAATATCTAATCTTTTTCTATTATGATATTTGTGTTGAGAAATTTTTTCCTGAAGTCTTTTAGCGTGACATCATCATCATCTTCTTCATTTTTATTTTTGTTTTCATTTTGTTTCTTTAAAAGATCATTTTCGGTTAGAATCAAATTCGATTGAGCATTTTCCTTGTTTTCTACTTTTTACTTTTTCACAAGCTTTTTTTTTTTTCTTTTATCTTTTCTTTATTAGTGGATCTTTATCTTTAATTTTATATATTTCTATGATAATCAATCATTGTTTAATTTCTTTAAACTCTTATTTTGATCTATTTACACTGAAAATTTAAATTTTTTATTTAGACTTAAAATCAGATTGTTGTCATAATTAGGTTTTTTTACTTTCTTTGTTTCTTCCAGTAATTAAATAATAATAATTTTATAAATAACATTTTGTATTAAATTAAATTACAATTATGTAAATAATAATTAATTACCTTATCATTTGGGTACTTGAGATATTTTGAAATTTCATAACTAATGAAAGTTTTTGTTGCTTGAAATAAAGTGACTATAATACTTTTTTTTCCATTATTGATCTCCATTTTTAACATGTACCTATTCACATAATATAAATAAGTTCATAGTTTCAATTGATTTGAATTAAAAAAGTGCAAATTTATTTTATGTATATAACATGTTATTATAATGAAATTTGTTACCTCGATCTAAATTTTGTAGTGAATTTTATACATTTTTTACACCATGCTTAGTTAATGTCTTCATCAATTTTTACCTTTCCCTTGCATTCTTTACAAGCATCATACCAAGGTTCTTCTTTAATGATGATATTCATTATAGTTGCTTTGAATGAATTTACCATATTTTATCAAATTAAAAAAAATTCATTTTTTATAGTATTCCAAAAATAATAATTTTATAGAATTGAATATTATAAATCTTTGAAGTTGCAAATGATGATCAATTGTGTAAACATCATTTTTTTTTAATTATTATTATTTATATATTTTTTTGTTTTCTATTTTGTTTTCTTTTTTCTTTTTTCTTTTTCCTTATTCTTCTTCCTTATCCGATTCAAGTTGACTAAGCATGAGTGCATTAAATGCACTCTCTCTAAAATTTAAAACCATCACTTGCAGCCGTCGACACTAATCAACGCGTGAATATCAGCTTATCACGTCAGTTGAAAAAATGAGACTCGAATCTTTGAAAATATGATATTTGAATCTTAGCAAGCTCTATAAATAGAGCTTGTAATTTGCGAAAAAAAAAAAAGGGAGAAATCAAAAAAAAAAATCATTTTAGCTTTCTGTCAAAAAAAAAAAAACAAAAAACCACAGTCCCCAAGTAGGGAACTTAGCGTCGAAAAAAAAACACTTGCAAAAAAAAAAAAAATAAGGTCAATTGCAAAAAATAAAAAAACAAAAAAAGAGTTTTAACCGAGCCTTCAAAGACAGATCTAAGCCGTTTGAGTCTCCTTAGGGTAAAACGGAAGTCGGATCTGGATTTGGTGAGTCGAGAGGAGTTTGTGGAGAGATTTTAAAATTTTTTGACCACCGATGACGACGGTCGGCACAACGGACAATGACCAGCCAATCGGTCTAGAAAGAAAGGGTTTGAGTGTAGAGGGAGAAGGGGAGGAGAGAAAATGAGAGAAAAAAAATTTGGGCCTTTTATAGAAACTGCTAAAGCCAAAATGACGTCGTTTCAATAAACTCCCAAAATGATGTCGTTTTAACCTCTAAAGATTCGCGCGTTAACCCGTGACCCGACCCGGGGTCCGCGCAACAGACTCGATTACTCGACTCATTCTCAGACCCAGACCGATTCATCTGAACCAATCCAGGTCGGGCTGAATCATTCCTGAAACTCCAGATCGAACCGAACCGTCGGTTCGAACCACGCGTTGATCGGACCGTTGACCGATCCGATTCAGGTAAAAAAATATTTTTTTTTTGAATTTTTTTATATATTATTTTGGTTATTTTAATTATTATTAATATTTATGCATGTAAAAATGTTTAAATTTACTAAAATAAATTTTTATTGTTTTATAATATTAATTAATAAATAATAAAAAATACATAAATATAAAAAAAATAAAATTTTATCCGATGATGAGATTCAAAGGTACTCCGAGTAGTGATACTTTATGAAATCTCTAGGTGAGAAGATTTTTTTAAATACTATCAGTGTATTGGAGTATTTATAAAAAATTTTAAATACAATAAAAATTTTCTTTTTTTTTCTTATAAAATAATAAATAAAAATAATAATAATACAAATAAGAAAAAAGAAAATTTTATCCGATGACAAGATTCTAAAAGTATTCCGAGTAGAGATGCTTTAAGAAATCCCTAGGCGAAGATGATTTTTTTTAAATATTACCAGTGTATTGAAATATTTATATAAAATCTTCAATATAACAAAAGTTACCCTTTTCTTCCAAAAAGAAAGAGAATAAAATGTGTGCATCAACATGATAACATTCTGCATTGCATACATGACATAATTTTTACGAAAAGTAAATTCAGACCTCTTAAGATAAGATTCTAAAGTATTTCGAAAAACGATGCCTAAGAAATCTCTAGGTGAGAAAAAATTATTCTAATGTTACCAAAGTAATGAAACATTTTAAGAATTATTTCAATAGAAAGGTTTTAATTTATTTTTCTCGAATAAAATTTGAATAATAATTTTTTAAAAAATAAAACAAACAAACCAATTTTCAATAAATAAAAAAATAAAAAAAATTATTTTTCCAAACACTGAGAATGAGACTATTTTTAATAAAAATCAAAAGATAACACATAGTTAAGTGGTACCGTTTTTAAACGGGTGTAGTGAGGGTGCTAATCCTTCCCCACGTGTAACCGACTCTCGAACCCAAACTGTTTCACAGACCGTGAAATTATCTTTTTAATAAATTTTAATTAATTTTAAAATTTATTAGAAGGATAAATTTTAATAGGTGACCAATCGCACCTAGTCAAAAAAGATTGGTGGCGATTCTATTTTTCGTTATTTTTTATTTCGTTTTCAAATTTGTCGGGTGGACACAAAATCGTTACGACAAATTGTTTGTTCCAAAATGACTTCCAATTCTTCCATTTTCTTCCCAGACATTAAGTATAATATCAAATTGTGACTTTCATAATGGAAAATCCTAATAAATAAATTAATTAATATTTTCATTAATTAGTATAAAATAACTTTTATTTATAAAATATTTAAGTGCAATGCATTTAAAGAAAATATAAAGCTTATCACTTTTTTTAATTTCTTTGCCTTTATTATTGAAAGATTAACAAGGATGGAAGATATTGTGAATGTGCTTAGTTGATAAGCACTTGAAAAATATACAATTAGTAAATGATAAGTTTTAAAAAATTTAAACTATTAAAAATTTTACAAAGTTTATCAATAGTAAATAATAAATTTAAAAAATTTAAGAAATGTTAAAAAATTTAATAAATTTTAGCCAAGACAAAATATAATTTAAAAATATATTAATTACCTTAATATGTATTTCCTTGTACATTTAATAATGCAACAATTGATCTTTCTTCTTTCATGTTTTCAAGTAATTGACCTTCAATTTCTGCCAAACTTCCCCATCATAGTACTTACATTGATTTCATCCTACAATTATATATATAATTGTCTTTATTAATTAAGTTTTAAAAGACGAAAATATATAAAAATAACAGTAGTATAATGTATAAGAAATAATTAGAAAGGGAAAAGTATTAAACTTTTTTATCATCGGTATATCTATTTGTTAATTTGTTCATTGTGTTATTCTAAAAATATTTCTACAGGCAAAATGTGGCGAGTTTGTCTTATCCAACTCTAAAAATCTAAAAAACACTTATCATTTCTTTTCAAACTATTCAAATGAATTATAGATTCCTTTTTTTTGTCTTTTTTCATTATCTTTAAATTTGTTAATGTCTTATAGTAAATGCCCTATCATCCTACATTAAAGTCTATAATAAAGAAGTACAAAAATTAACCGGCATTGTATAAGCAAAACTTAAGAAAAAAAGTAAAATAATTTAATTGAGGAAAAGATTATCCACACATACCTTCTAAAAAAAATTGATACTTGTCAACATATTTAATACTATTGTGAAGATTTCATCTTTATGAATCATTTTGAAATCTTTAGACATTGCTTCAAAATATCTATCCTAAAGTTTCCTTACATTTGTAGGTTCACAATGATATAATATTATAACAAACAATTTTCGAAGTGCTTTTGGCATTTGATATGTCGTTGCTTTAG